AAGACAGATAGATGGATGCCCACAAAATGCTTTGAACCCCAGCAGGATGTGATGAAGCAGCGTAGCCACCACTGTATTTGCAGCCTCGTTGTTCATGAGGGCAGCCAAAGAATAGAGCTGGTATAGTGAGCAAGCCTGAATCAGGTCCAATGTCATCAAGTGATGGCTGTGGGGCCAGATCAGGGTCCAGCAGATCCATGCCAGCTGAGCCCATCCCTGGAACGCCCCGTGGTTTTTGGCACTTTTTGTTGTGCTCAATGGAAGCAGGCATACCACTTTATGTTGGTTAGGCCTTCCCTCCATTCTAGATCCCCCAATCACTTCAGATGATATGGCTGGGATATTTTAGGCATTCTACATTTAGCCTACCATTTCTACTTTTATTTCAGTCTTAGGAGACAAATCCTGTTCCACATCCCCCTTATGAATAAAACTAGTCAAGGTCTGAACTAGTCCTCATGGGACCATGGGAAGGCTGAGTTTTGCTCAAGCAGATAATTCTCATAAAAACACCCACCTAAAACAACTAGCTTTTCAGTAGCAGAGAGAAATATATACAATACCTTTCCTTGGATAAAAATGCTAATATTAGCTCTGATATAAAGAGAAAGAAAACAACAGGAGAAAAATATTAGTTCCTACATGTGGCCTTTGCAAAACAGAGGGGCTGCATATCAATAAGCTTGATGTTATTGCATTCACTGTTTACCATCACTTTCCTTCCTGCATACACACTATGTTGTTTACTTTCATGAAAATGGAGTAGTATAGCGGAAGTACAGAATGAACCTCACTGCTGCCATCATTAGGTTTCCAACATTGACAGAATGGTCAAAATAATAGCTATAATTCCTAAGTCAGAATCTTGTACCCAGGATCAAGAAGAGTAAATTTATTTATTTCCTAGTGGGTAGTATTCAACCCAGTTTTACTCAGAGTACAGTAACTGAAATTAATGACCATGACTAAGTTCACTGGGTCTATTCTGAGTAAAACTGAGCTGAATACCACCCATTATTTTATACACTCACACATACAGTGCTATTTTTATAGAAAAAGGTGCCAGAACCCACTATGAACACCTCCCTTGTTCTGTTAGAATGGCAATGGTGCTCACCTGAGAGGTGCCAGAACTGAGTTCCGGCGAGTTCCAGCTGAAAAAAAAGTCCTGCACACATCTATCACAGCAATTAAAACAGGAGACCTGAGGTGGAGAAATCAGAAAGGCATGCATGGAAAGCAACTTCTCTCCCACCTCTTCCATATTTACACTTTTCTCTTTTTAAAGACCTGTCAGTTGTGTTTTCTTGTGTGCTATTTTCCAGCCCATTCCAATCTGCCGAAGATGCTACCTTTTTTATTTAGAAGGGAGGAAAAGAAAGCTGTCTTGCAGGAAGGAATGCATGCGCGCGCACACACACACACACACACACACACACACAAAGAAAGATTCTCCTCCGCATCAGCCCTTTTTATAGATTCGTGTCACACCACGTTCCTTTTAAAGTTCCTTGCACTGTCATTCATTCGATGCCCTACCCTGGCTTTGAAAGCTTCTGGCTTGGCCCCTGAGATTGCTCACTTCGTTTGACGTGTTCGGCTTTCATTCTTTCCTCAATAACATACAGCCCTTAGGAACCCATTCTCTTCTCCCTCCCCCACCCTTTCCTATCCAATTTAAACATTCTCAAGTTGTGGCATTCTAGTCATGGTTCCCTGCATTTCTCCCTAGTAGTATGGTACTGCAGTCACATATGAAAGTCATCATTTCATTCCCAGCTTTTGAAGAAAGCCAGTGTGTAAACACAACATGCACTGCACACCAAATACAGGGATATGTTGTTCTTCCGTCGTGGGTTAGGTGTTATTGCAAGCACTTGATGTTGAAAATCCATTTTGATGTGTTCAAATGAAGATGAGTTTTGTCACAACAATATATGCCTTTCAGAACGGTTAATATATGAAGCGTTTTGTTCCCTCACAAATGAAAATGTAATTAGAGCTTGTCTTAAAACTATGCAATGTCTAAGTGCATCTTGCGGGGGACAACTTAATTAGAGTAAAAACAACACCACAGGAGGGAAAATAGAAAAGCAGTAAACTGTGGGCAGCTAACTGCTCAGTGCTCTGCGTATTTATTTCAAAATCCCACTGCACTCAATGACACTTACTCCTAGGTAAGCGTGTACAGGTGTCATTCCTTCTTATAGGGAATGGTAAAGTGACACACCGGAGGAGGATATCACAGTGGAGAAAGCAAAACCTCCAGCCCACATTCCTGGCACTGAAATGCTCAGCCACCACCAACAGTGATCCTGTGGGGAAACAGTGTCACCCCTGTGAGAGGATGGCAATATTTCTGATGCTCTCCCTCAACATAACAAAATTGTGAACCATCCACAAAAAGAGATAAAGGAAATGAAAACTTGTGACAGGGCCTCTCCTCCTCCCGGAGGGGAGGTGTTGTGGGCGGGACGTGATTTCTGCATCACACAGGGGGCGTTATGCCCCCTGCCCCACTCACCTGGCTGGCGCACCATGCCCACGGTAAGCACCCAACCGGGCGGCTTGGTGTGGCCGTGGTTTGCGATTTAAGATACCGCCGCGCCAGCCATTCCACCTCACTTTTTCACCTTGCGGTTAGGCATTGGAATGTGTTGTTGGTGTATGGAAGAGCAAGGTGTGGCCATCGCCTACCCCTTCAAATTTGGGTATTCCGTTAAAGGAATCCGGCGGTCGTGGATCCTGTCCAATGCCTGTGTGGCGGGGGGCCATGGCACGACCCTCGGTGACATCAGGGGAGAGCTTATAGTTGTATTAGCATCAACAGGCTCCTCCTACTGGTGAATAACCCCTCTTTAGGCTCACCCCTCTCCGAGTGGGTGGAGTCAATTTTTCGTGTTCCAATGCCTAAGCCAATACCTTCTCACTTGCTGTAATCAATAAAGTTGTGGCCTTTTCTTGCCCATTAACCTTATACACTGTGTCCGTGTGTCTTTATTCCACAAAGCGGGGATCGGGTCCTTGAACCACAATTGTTAATTATTTTGCAATAAACTTGATTGCTGGGATGGTGTTTCAGCTCTAACTCGGCTGTTCCATTGATTCACCATAGTCCACTCACCGTTTGGTTAGTAGTGAATCTAGCTAAGACATAGTTGTGGTTTTTGCCAAGACTGATTGGGCCATATGCTTTGGGGGACTGTTCCATCTACATATGATTGAGTCCCGTGATGCCATGGTGAAGGTTTTGCATTTCAGTAACTGTTTTCTCATTTGGCTTCCTGCCCATCCTCTGGCTAGTCATCATTCAGCCAGCAGAACTATTAGAAAATTGTCCTCTTCTGCCAAGTTGCCAGACACCACAAAGCAAAATAAATGACCAAAGAAAGTACAGAGCCAAGATGTTTTATATGGAAGTCAATTTCCTTCTCCATTTGTGATGTCTCTCTATTTTTATTATCACTCCAGTACTGACTGAATTACTTTTTTTTTTAGCCATTAGCCTATGGCTAGGATAATATGAGACTTCATTATACGTATCGTGGAAGTGCTTGAATGACAAATTGCAAAACTTAGGCAGGACTGTGTATGATGGAGTGAAATGCAATCTTTGTCTAATGACCTTAGCAAAGGCACCAAATATGTCATGAGGCTATTTGTGCAGGTGCTTCTCCTTAAGGGATCTCATCCAGGCATCCCCAACCTGCAGCCCTCCAGATGTTTTGGCCTACAACTCCCATGATCCCTAGCTAACAGGACCAGTGGTCAGGGATGATGGGAATTGTAGTCCAAAACATCTGGAGGGCCAAAGGTTGGGGATGCTTGGTCTCATCCATCCATCCATCCCTCTTCCCAGGGAAGTCTGGAGCTTATAGGGGAATGGGTGTCTCCTAACAACTCTCAGCACCTTTAACAAGGTACTTCCCAGGATGCTTTGGGGGAAGCCATGACTGTTTAAAGTGGTATGATACGGTTTTAAATGTATAGTGCAGATAGGGCCTTTTGCAGGAAACAGTCAACTGTTTGAAGCTCATAGAAGCACCCCTAAGTCCCATTATTAAGTCCAAGGTCAGCATTCGACTCAGTATTCTCTGGAATGGATTCAATCACATACCAAAGATGTGGGTTTGAACAATTAAAGTGAGTCAAAACACTCTGGTGCAACATATCCACTTCTTTTTAAGGACATTTTGTGGTTAGGAAAGTGATGGACCAAAGGAATAAAAGGAATGACTGAATTCTTAACAGGAAGATTTGTAAACACCCTGCAAGCAAATCATGATAAATGCCTATTGACATGTAACCTCCCTGCAAGCAAATAAGAACAAATGCTCAATAAAGACCAGGTTAGTCTAACCTCTGCTGAAGCTCTGTGCAAGCAAATCAGGAAGAATGCTAAGGAAAGGTCATCTGGAGAGTATTATTTTTTGAAACCACAGACAATTCTTTATTTTGTTCTTATAACCCTCAGAATGTTGCCCAGAGGCAACCCTTGAGCTTAAAAAGCTCTCCCATCCTTGGTGTAACAATACCAAGTTAAATGGACCAATGTCTGCTTTGGTATAAAGCAGATTCTCATGTTCCTCAGGCAAATGTGGAGAATGATGCTCAAGCAAACAACTTTAGCACAGGATTTTTTGTGGGGGAACAGAAGAGAGTTGCAAATATTGAGGAAGTTCATAGCTTTAAGCACTAGCAACACTTCTTGGGACAGAGATCACAAACAGGTTGAACCATTATAGGAGAGGTACACATGCTTACTTTTTCCTAACCTAGTAATCAAAGTTGAAATGGTACTATGTATTATCCTATGTCGGGGATCCTTAGCAGACATAGCCAAATGCATTTTATACAAATGATCATCATTCAGAAGTAATCAGAGTCCGAGCAAGTTTGTTTAAAAATCTGGTGGTACAGCTTTATTCAGACACAGTTCTAGCTCCATCTGGATTAGCAGAAGACTGAAGGCCCATGGAGCGAATCATTGCAAGATTTTTGTCAGGATGAAAATGAACTCTGTTGGCTGAAGCTCTTCTAGTGTTCCAGGGGGAAGCTTTCCTCTTTCTTGTTGATTGATGCTGCTGCTTCTATGTCTGCTTGCTTTGGGAGAAGATGACAAGCTGGCTTCAGATGAAGCACTTGTGTTAGCTGGTCTGATGCACAGGGAATATTTGTCATAGTTGGCCTCTTAGGCAGACACACTGTGTGTTAGAAAGTGAAGGGAAAGACCAATCTGGGAAATAACAATCTACACTATAAGCCAAGTAAACTTTCCTGGGGGAAAGTGGATTTTAAACGAAGTTTAAGGGCCAGAATAGACAAGAATAATTTGACACTCAAATGGTAGTAGCATTGTTCATCGAGTGCCATATACAGAGCAAGGGGATTGGGGGGGGGGGGACCAGGCCAAATGCCCTTATATGTTTCCTTTCCAGGATCAGGATTGGGCAGGGGTGCTCCTTTGTGACTGACAGGTCTATTTTGAAATCTAAGGGAATGATTTGACCAGCACTGTCTAATCCCAGTTCCTTGTGGGAGGGAGCACCTTTGTAAAAGCAAAATCTATTTCTCTAAGCCTAATGAGCATGTCAGGAAAGGGAAGGGGAGTTCCATTGTGACTGACAGTAGCCTGTAATCAGAGGGAGTGATTTGACCTGGAAAGCAAATCCCTTTTTGTTCTTTTCAATAATTTACCTAGCGGCAATTTTCAAACCAATTCCATCCCGCACATGTTGAGAGGGGTATTGCAATTCCCTTTTTGTACATCCAAAGCCCCTTACAGACCCCCACCCCACCCCAAAAACACACTGCATTTATCCATTTCATATTTGGCAAGATTCATGCATTCAGAAGGCAAAGCCTTGTCTGCAAATTTCATCTAATTCTGGGACAAAATAAAAAAGGGCTTACAGATATTTTCTTTTTAAACAACAACAAACTTTAAAGATTTCCAGCTCAAAAGCCTCAGGACCCATCTGCCTGTAATTTAGAAGGGCTACTATGCTTGCAAATTCCACCGACTTCTATCAAAAGCAGGCAGGGGAGTTATAAGCATTTTTTAATTATTATTATTCCCAAATAGTGAATTGGAGGCGGACTCAGATAGACACTGAACCAAATTGGGCTGCATATGGAGCACTTCAGGCCTGGTTTCACTGGGTACCAAAATCCTAGTATGTGGTCAGAACTAAAAACCTTAACATTCCATGCAAAGGTAATCCTTAACACATAATAAGAAAAGTCAACATTTTAAACTATTATGCACATTGAACTAATTTGCATGATTTACCTAATTATAATTTAGTCTGCAGTTTTGACTTTTTGTTACCAATTTTACTCGGGCTGTGCTGATCACATGGAAAAAGCAGGAGCTATGCACTGACCCAATAACTGAATATCTTAAAGCCATCACCCTAAGGCTTGCATAGATATTGTCTGCATACTTTCAAGCATCCCCCCCTCCCAGGCACAAAGACTTTTCAAAAAAATGTCTCTGGTTTTTAAAAAGAAAAGAAAAACCAGGTTATCAGGAAGAATTCTACACTCAACAATTTTATTCTCATAAAAATAAAAAGAAATAAAGAAAACTACTAATCCTATAACTTAGAAAGATACTTTGGCCAGTGCTCTAATCTGAGGGATCATACACACGGATATATACACAGTCCTCAGATTTGCTTTCCATTTTACATGATGATATACAGTGCCTTTAGAAGCTCTAATGAGACTACAAATAGATTATTTGAGTTAACAATTTCATCTTATTTCTTCCAGAATATTACAATTTGAACCTGGGTCCAGCCCTAGCAGGTTTCCACTCCACAATACCAGGTCTAAATTCTGGAAAATGTGAGCTAATAATAAGATGGCAGGATTCTAAACAAATGCTTTTTCATTCATCACTGAATAACAACAGCAGTGAAGGGAGACCAGAAACTCTTCACCAACAAAAATGGAGCAGTCTAGTAACCCCTTCTAACAGAGAGAAGTCAGCCTTTCTGTGAGGATTTTTTTTGTACACTTGTCCTTCTACTTTCTTCCAGTCATAAATATTTTTGGATATTGATGAGCTCTGTCAGAGGACCACTTCATCTCGCATGCTTCTTTTTCCTTTCCAGAGAACATAGGCCATGAAATCATTGTCTTGCTCTGAAAGACCAATGGCCTATATTTGGCTCAATATACAATGGCCACTTGGAAAGTCCACAAGCAAGGCAAGACAGTGCTCTTAACTCCTGTTTGTCATTGGTATCTGTTGCTTTTCAGATGTATTTCATTTTTCTTATTTCATTTTATTTCACTCCCCAGCTCTAGTAGAGCATTATTCCCAATGACTATGTGACTGTGTTGCAAAAAGAGATGAGGTTGTCCTTTCACAAGCCAAAACTTGAGAGCCTCAGAGCTGAGCATTCACGTTCAGTGCTTTGGAGGAAGCAAAACTGTCATTGGGTTTACACATTTGCAACTAATGGCTGTCAGGAAAGCACGAGGGATGCTCTGAATTTCAGAGGAGCGATGAATTACAACAGCATTGGACTCTGCAATTATAGTTACAAATTGGCATGTATTGGCAGGCTCAGTTAATTAATATGTCCTAGCAGTAGCAGCTGGTGTGATGGAGCTGAGCTGCAGAGCTTTCCTTCCATCACCATTGTTTCTGCAGCTTACCTGGATGAGACTGGTATAGGTAAGGATCCCTGGACGTTTAAGTCCAATCAAAGGCAACTGTAGGATTGTAGCACTCATCTCACTTTCAGGCCGAGGGAGCTGGCTTTTGTCCACAGACAGCTTTCTGGGTCATGTGGCCAACATGAATAAACCACTTATGATGCAACAGAACACCGTGACATAAACCAGAGTGCATGGAAATGCCATTTACCTTCCTGCCACAGTGGTACCTAGTTATCTACTTGCACTGGTATGCTTTCGAACTGCTAGGTTGGCAGGAACTGGGACAGAGCAACGGGAGCTCACCCCCATCATGGGGATTCGAACCGCCAACCTTCTGATCAGCAAGCCCAAGAGGCTCAGTAGTATAATAATAAAAATAATTTCTTTATATCCCGCCCTCCCCAGCCGAAGCTGGGCTCAGAGCGGCTAACAACAGTAAAAATAACACAGTTTACATAAAATCATAATCATCTAAATGAAATACATTCTAAAATCAATTCAGAGTCAAATTAATGGCAACCATTGGGCTAGAGTTCTATGAGGATTACAAAAGGAGGGGGTCAGACTGTGCCTTAGCCAAAGGCCTGCTGGAACAGCTCTGTCTTGTAGGCCCTGCGGATCAGGCCCATGGCTGAAAAAGCCCTGGCTCTGGTCAAGGCCAGCCTAACCTCCCTGTGGCGCGGGATCTCCAAGATGTTTTTATTTGAAGACCGTAAGGTCCTCCGTGGGACATACCAGGAGAGGTGGTCCCGTAGGTACGAGGCCGTATAGGGCTTTAAAGGTTAAAACCAGCACCTTAAACCTGATCCTGTACTCCACCAGGAGCCAGTGCAGCTGGTATAGCACCGGGTGAATATGATCCCGTGGCGACGACCCTGTAAGGAGTCTCGCTGCGACATTCAGCACCCGCTGGAGTTTCTGGGTCAGTCTCAAGGGCAGCCCCACGTAGAGTGGGTTACAATAATCAAGTCTGGAGGTGACCGTCGTGTGGATCACAGTAAGCTAGTATATGTTAGTAAGCTAGTATATGTTAATTTGTAGCTATAATTGCAGAGTTCAATGCCTGGGCAGGCCGTGTCGTCCTCTTATATACCTGCTGGGATTGACAAGGCATCTGACCCTCACCTGAATCTCATAGCTCTCATGTAGCTGCCTCTGATTAGTTATCGTTTAACTCTTGGGGGAAATAATTAGCATCACACGTCATGTGCATGGAAGTTGCCAAACCAATTAACCAACTAGAAGGATTACTGTTAATAGCACCAGTTTTCCTATAACTTGATATTGCTGGATAGTTTTGATGAACTGCAAAAGCATTTTTAGTTTGCTTTCTGTTGCCACCCTGGAACTTTTCTTTATTAGTGCCACTTTGTTTTGTACGATTCCTTGCAAATGAAGGAAAACAACTTTTCTGCTTGTATATGTTGATAATATAATTTTGATTACTGAGATCAAACAAGATTTGTACAAAAACAAGATTGGGTGCAGGCCTGGCCAGGACATAGGCATCCTGACTGTGACAAAGGTGACCTTTGTGCTTGCTTGCTTGATTAACAGCTGTTGGGAACTTCAAGGTCCCTGCTGTCCCTTCTTATGATCTTTGTACTGGACCTGGAGACTCCAGTAGAGAGCATTCCATGTCAAGAAGGAGGGCAAGTGGGCACTCTATCAACTGACAGGGCAGGAGTTACATGGAGCAGGACCTTTTCACTGGTGGTGCCCATTGTATGCCTCGCTCTTCCCAGACCTGCTGTCTTTTGGCCTGTATTTTGGAGCTTTATAATTTAGGAAGACTTTGGAAGAACTGGTTGACAAGTCTTATCAGTTGCTGACGTATGAGCAGAATTTATTTGCTGCTATTCTGTGCTTCTGGTGCACCAGGGTTTACACCAGCATAATAGAGTTGGCCAAGATGCCAGAAGGGATACAATTTATGAGCTTTCTCCATTATCTGCGCAGCAGGGGTTGTTCAGTCAACAGTGCAAAGGCTGAGCTGAAGCATTCACTGCTGGTTACCTGCTTTCAGCAATAGGGGTCGCTGTTTGGTAGTACGCAATTGGTTAGCTGCCAGATTCTATAGCTCCCTACTGGTGGCTCTTAGGTAATTCACAAACTACAGAGTCCATCCATAAAACACAGTGTTCATTCATAAAGCAGCAACATAAATATCCATTGCTACATATTGGGTGTATATTTCAGTGGTTGAACGTACAAGTTTATGGCCATGCTGTAGTGTAGTGCTTATGCTCCTGTGAATAAAAGGTGGCTGGGCTCATCGTCCTGGGGTTTGGGGGTGAGAGGTGACAAAACTGATTTCCAATAAGTGCCCCCCTTTATTTCCATAACAATTCCTTGAGTCTGTACTCTGAATAGTGACACCAGCGACCTAGAAGGTGCAGGGCTTGTCAGTCCAACCCCTGCACAGTCTCATCAGGGCTGACCTTAAGGCAATTGGAGCAACTGGGCCAAATTGTGCCCTGCGGGCCGCTCCTAAGGGGCCCCCTGCACCAGAGCAATCTAGATGGATTTTATTTATATCTATAAGATTTTGCAGACTTTGGCTGTGAACTAAGGCCCTACCAAAAAAAAAAAAAGGCCAGCCCTGAGTCTATTAGTTGCTGGGCCTGAGTTGCTCTGCCCTTGCATGAAGTCTTGGGTTTGCAATTTTGGGAGATGAGAGACTGCGGCACTGGGGAGAGGGCAGGCTGGTGAGGCCCCTTAGATTTAGAGGCCCTAGGCTTCTGCGTATTTAGCCTATACATAAATCCGGCACTGACTCCATCCCACCACACCAGCCACTGGTTGTCTCCCATCAGTGCAAGGATTTTGCTTTTCTCCTCCCCCTGCATGCACCCTGCAGCCTCCTCAAATCTGCTCCAGAAAGTTGGGGAAACACCTAAAGCAGAATTAAGGGGAACACAGAGGGAGGAGAGGGGGAGAATGTTCTGTTGTGCAAGCAGGAATCCTTGCACTGATGAAATTGTCGCTTAGCACCATGTCGAGTACAACCCAATGTCTGGAGTGAATAGAAAAGAGAGAGGTAATAATACCTTCTCATTTTTAAAAATGAATAATGATTTAAAATTAGGCTCCTAACAATCAAGGTCTGGAGGCTGCAGTGTAAGCCTTTAATTTACTTCTGCTTTTACTAAAACAGGAGTCTTGTGAAACATTTTAAAAGGATGACTAAGAAATGTATTATGAAAAGTATAATGCATTTGTTAGTCATCTTTACTTAAAGGTGGCACGTGTTATAATATAATCAGTCCCAAAGAACCCTATAAAGTTATTGAGGCATAACTTCCATTTTACAGAAGCTACACTAACTTTTCCCCAAGAGTAAAGTCGGGATGAAGGAGAATTTCATTTGGTCTGTATTTTTAAGCGAACAGACCTAATTCACACCTCCTTCGGATTTCACACTTCTCCAAGTTTTGTGATACAGATCTCGGCTCAGAAAAGCACAGAAAAGTTTGTGATTAAAAAAAAGCACTTGTTTAAATACATAAGTATGGGTTTATTTATTTTTTAAAGAACGAATTGCAGGCCAATGCAGAAATGGGGTGGAAAAGACTTAGAAATAAGCACATAAGAAATTGACAGAGCCTGGAGACAGTCGGCTGTATCTATTCCTACTGAAGAGCACAAACAATCCTCCCTTAAATAATGCTTTCTGTTTTCAGCATCACATACTTTCAGTTAAGCATTCTGACCAATTTCTTCCACTTCCCAACATACATTAAAAATGCCTTTGTTTTCCCCAGTGAATTCATTTCAGTGCATTGCTTCGATTTTTATTTTCGGCAAGAGCTGCAACCTCTACTTTAGAGATAGAATGAATCTTCTCTGTATGTTTAATAGTCACAGACAGAGTCTGCAGCCATTTGAAAAATGCAGAGATAAAGAAATGTCATGCACCTTTTCTAAAACATGACAGGGAAACAGAAATGTACATTAATGAGAAATGGGAAGCATGTTTGGGCTTGCTTTCCTTTCCAGGTGTTGAGGAACACTTCCACAAGTTTTTGTGATTCTGATTTTGCTGGGGAAATGTTCTAGTCAACTATGATAAGGCGGTACTGCTTGATTTGATGCATAGTTTAGGAAGAAGCTCTACATTAATTTTCATTCTGACAGAGCCATGGTGAATGTGCTCAGAAAGGTTCTAGTAGTGCTGCTGAGCTTTTCAGAGACAGGACAGGATGGGGGGGGCAGGAGACACATATGTAATTATGGAACAGACCAAAGCAGGCCCATGCAGAGTTGTCTGAGAGCCCGAGGTGCGAGTCTTGTTAAAATAAAATTAAAAACTCAAACAAAAAAGCAGCTGGTCCCTAGTGGGCACCACTGGCTTGCTTAGCCCTCCAAGGCCCAGGCCAAGTGTACCTGGCTGCTCTGCCCCCCCCCCTTGTGAAGCCCTAGACCAAAGCATAAGTCCATTGAACCATCTGTGCTATTTACTTTGTTGCACAGCTACTGGAATTAGAAAAAAAAGTGTAGAAGCATTGTAAAGTTACAAGTTTGGCTTCTTCTAATTTCTAGTGAGGATCCTGTGCCTTTAGAATCTACCTGAGAGGCACACATTTTTAAATAACGCTTTTCATGGCTTAGGGGTGAAGTGATTGTGGGATACTTCACCTCCTAATTTATGTGGTTGTTTAAAGTATAGATCCCCATCTATTTATTTTTGGGAAAGAGAATTTTCCCACAGTTGTTGGACTCCAACTCCCATCAATCCCAGCCAGCATGGCTAGTGCTCAAACATGACAAGAGTTGTAGCCCATCAACAGCTGGAAGGTCAGGGATTCCACATCACTCATTGTAGCAGTGGTTAGAGTTGAGTTAGGGCTTAGGAGAAGTGTTGAATCAATTCCTCCCCATCCCTATCTGATGGGGCTTCTGTGTCTATGACAGCTGCCAAAATATAGCAGTAGAAGTCCATACCAAGTACTTCATCTCAGTGCCTAGTTTTGGAATGGATGGTATTGGTGTGAGTTATTCTAAGCAGGTAGATTGAGTTAGGTTCACACACCCACACCCAAATTCCTTCTGGGAGGGACGGCGAACCTGGCTGAGAAGGAAATATAGTTATCACCCA